TATGTCAGGGCCATACTAGGTTTTTAGACCAAAGCACTAGACACTTAAAACACATACTAGACACAACACCTGTGTCCGTGTCCATGTAACACTATCAATATCAAGATGGCCTTATACTATTATCCCACCTGAACCGGCAACATAATGACAATGTGCACCACCCTACGAGCCCCCCCCCCCCATAGACCAGAATATCATCAGACCAAACTCAAGCTTTTGTTGGGGGAATAAACTCAAGGAAAAGGACGTAAGGTAATCGAGAATTTTGGTTTGAGAATGCTTTGCCATTCAATGTGGCTAGTTCAAAGTACTACCCTACGATGATAACTGCCATAGCGGAAGTAGGTCCAGGTTTCAAAAGGCCAACCGTAAAATAATTTGTGGCTGCAGTCTTGCATGATGTCGTCGACGATATCGATTGACACATTGAAAAATTTAAAACGATCTGGCCAAAGACTGGTGTAACCATCATTATAGATAGTTGGAAGACAAAGCCCATATGCATCTTGTAATGTTTTTGGACAATAGCCCAAAGGGTATCGTGCACCATTTCAATCATGACCTCTTCAATACAAGAAAGATTAGAAGATTGCTTTGAAACCACATTGCAATGTCGTACAAGAGATTGGGGTGGAGAATGTGGTACAAGTGGTTATCGATAATGTGGGTGTCTATAGAAAGGTTGGAAGGTTGCTCATGAAAAGGAGACCAATCTTGTTGGGACTTCTTGTATTGCATAATGTTTGAATCTAATGTTGAAAGACAATGAGAATTTGAAGAAGGTAATTTTCTGTATTAAGAAGCCTAAGATTGTAACGAAATTTATATACAACCACAGTTATATCCACTCTTTAATGAAGCAGCATTGTGATCGAGAGATTATTAGGGATTCGACCGTCAAGTTTTCTATTGCTTTCTTGACAATATAGTCGATCCTAGATCAAAAGTCATGGTTGAGGTTGATGATATGCTCATCAAAGCGGCAGTTGGATGGAGCAACAAGGAGTGATGAAGAAAGGCCAATTGAGGAGATCATAAAGCGTTGAGGTTTAGGATGAGATGCAACGTGTTCATTTCCATAACTAAACCTCTCATCCAAGTTTTGAGGTTGAGTGACTTAGATGTGAAGCCAACTATGGATTTCATCTACGAAGCGATGAGACATGCTCGGAAAGTTATTGTATGTAAAAACATCTTCATCGTTGATGTCTTGCCATCATCAATTACAAGATCCCATTTGACCTAACTTTGTCAAATGCTCATTTCATATGCAAGAAATTTATTGAACCCAGAGTATTTTTATGAGATGGATGCGATACAAGATTCTGAAAGAATGGAGGGCATAAGGAATTACATTTATAGGCTTGAGCATGATCCTGATGCTCAGATTCAGTGTATGATAGAGGTAAGTCATCATGAATTGGAGTCCATATTAATTCAAGAAATTATTATGCTTTGACGTACTAATTTTCTTAGCATGCACATCTTGATCTGTGTAGTCGACCATATACATGGATCATGAGGATAAATTTGCATTCAATAATACCCTACCTCAGGGTTAGTTCTACAACTACATCACTCTCATTATTTAAGTTTTTAACTTATCTACTAATTGTTGATGCATTATAATGTCATTTTCTATCATCAAATATTTCATATTTATAAATATCAGCTAATTGATAGATGCTATATGGTCTACAAACACTTAACCTGCAAAATTTGCATTCAAATTTTGAGCCAAACCTGCTTTGCCTCAAGCTATGAGAGAAAATGGAGCATATTTCAGTGGATACATGCTCCCAAGCAGAACAAGTTGAAAACTCAGACACTCCATAACCTCGTTTATGTCCACTATAACTTCAAACTCAAGGTGCACTAGATAGATAAGTCGTCCTCAAACTATATTCTAATTAACTTAGATTATATCTTCCACAAGGACCTTGCTAATGAATGGGTATCAAAGAGGATGTCGATACTGGATCACTACTTCCTATAAGAATTAGTTGTACACATGAATGATGATAACAACATTCGGGCAACCCATTATAAGAACGTGGCAGAAGACATGATAGACAACAAGGAGGGAGATGACAATGATGAGGATGACCATGATGATGATGAGGCAATGTAAGATGATTGGTGAGAGACAATGATGGTAGAGTTCGAGGTGGCTCATGGTACTAAAAGCTCCCCTGGGAAAGATGAGAAGCTAAGATGGGTTGGGGAAGCAGTAGAGACATTCAAACATAACAACTTTACGCATGAAGAGAAGCGCAGTGTTGATGGTGGTGTAAGCCAAATATTCATGACAATGATGATGCGGATGAGGGGTAAAACACAAGCCAAGGAAGCGAGGAGCATGTACTCTAAATTTGGCGAGATCCGTGACAAAATTTGTATATAACCACTCTAAAATCCTATTTTTGTTTGGACAACAATTTGAGAAAATGAGATAATCAAGCTTGCCATGACCTGCTTTGTGACAGATTACTTAGCTGTAGACTCTATTCGGGAATCCCAAGCTACATTGAAGAAGTTATTCACTAACAAAGAGTGGTCAAAAGGTTACCTCTTGAAGTCCAAAAAACGGGTTAAAAGTGGAGGGCATAATCACATATAAGAGGTTTTGGTCTCGGTGTCTAGTGTCATAGAGGCCATTATACATTTGGTCACAGTGTTAGGAATGGTGGATGCTGACAAAAAACCCACCGTGGGCATCCTTTACGAAGGGATTGAGATGGCCAAAACAATTATTCATGAGAAATGTAGTTTTGCAACTAAAGTGGTCGAGATTATAAAGAGAAGGTGGGACACTCAATTGGGTCGCACAAGTCATTATGTAGGTAAATATTCATTTATAATCTTAGAATGTTTAATTCGAAAATATTTTTTTATATGTATTTAAATGACCTTACTCCATCTATGTATTTTCTAGGTTTTTACTTCAATCCAAAATTTTTCTATTTGACACCTGAACATCCCGACAAGATTATAGAAGGGATCAAATACATTATTGTCAAATTGGAGAGAAGCCATTGAAACTAGGTAATGGCAATATAGGAGGTAAGAGTTAATGTTTGGGTAAGAACTTCATTGAATTGCTATATTTGTGAGGAATAACTAATGCATTAAAACTTTTTTTTTTAGCTTTCTATGTATAGGGATGTTGTACGATCATTTAAAACTAGACTTCTTGAACTAAGATGGATCCAGGTTAACCCCTAACTAATATGTTCTTTCATATTTTTAATCTTATGAAATGTTTTTGCCCTTACAATATTTTTTGCATTTTAATCTAGCTAAATGGTAGGAGATATATGGAGTGATGCACTTTACCTAAGGAGGATAGCAATCAAAGTTCTATCACAAACATATTCTGCTATTGGGTGCGAGCGAAACTGGAGTACATTCTAGTGGTTGCATACCACTAGGAGGAATCAACTCGCTTCAGAGAGGCTTCATAAGCTAGTCTACATTCATAACAACTTAAACCTCCGAGAGTGACAAATAGGAATGAAGCTTGAAGACTACGATCCAATAGACTTAGATACAATATACGTCATGGACGCAATAGAACGTTGGGTACTGGAGGAAGATGAGCCAATGTTGCACAAGAAAGTGTTCCCTGAGGCTATCAACAACGTAGATGATGATGAAGGTGATGAGCAACATGAATGAGGAGGCAGCTCGCTAACATATCTACAATTTGTTGAAAATGTCGGTGGTGTTGCACCTAATGACGGAGAGTGAGAAGGGGGATAAGAAAAAATGAGAGAGATGATGATTCTGAGGTCACCATATTTCAACTAAATTATTTACATATCGAGTCCTAACACAAGTGGGTGGGGCAAGCATGACAATGTAGGCGAGCGTGAAGGATGAACACGCTTCAAGGATTTTGGATTAAGAGTGCAACAAAACACTAACACTCATAGATTTAGATATACTCAGGTGGTCACTAATTTGGATGATTCGTTACAAGATCGAGTCAATGAATTATTATATGAATTCAATAAATGATACCAGTTTGACCAAAATGAAGAACAACATCGTTTTTTATTTTGATTTTAGATCGTATTTTATGAATTATATGCTTTATTATAGTGCATGTATAATTATATACTTCATCTATTATTATTAAATGCTTCTTCTTTTATGTGATGTAAATATAGTTCACGTATGATTATATATTTCATCCATGATGATTCTATGTTTTTTTTTTTATGTAATGTAAATGGTTAACAGTAGTTCATACATGAAAAACAAATCTCAATATTCATATATTAATGCAAAAAGAAATGAAAGTTAATAATGTAGTGTCTTCATTTTATATTAGATTTTAAAAAGAAACTTTTAGAATAGTTTTTAATAATTTTTTTAGATATTTGTAAGGCTGAATCCAAACGATCCGGTTAATTTACCAATCTGAAGAGTCGATTCACGGATCTAAAGCGATTTTTGAAGCGCCCGATCCTAAGCACCGACCCGTTTTTAAATCATCGCCTAGTACGGGCAAGACGTTGAGGACCCAAACCAAAGACGAATGCACCATGCTGGTCATTTCCCTTCCAGCCAAAATTAGGTGCACCATCAACTCCCGTCTGCTTTTTTTTTTCCTATCACCCAAAGCCTTCGTTGCCAGCCCTCAGCTCACCAGGAAGCAGTGTCAACTGACAAGTAAGAACCCCACCCTTGAAGAAGAAAGTGTTAGAGGAGATGAGAAGTAATGCAGTCTTTGTCGACTTCAGTTTCTGATGGGAACAAAGGAGAATGAGCGGAAAAGGGAGGGACTTAGGGGAAAATGGGAGAAGCAAAGGAACAACAGCCCCCCTCGGCACCTGATATTCCATTCGAGCTCGTCTCCGAAGAAGAGATGGCATTCATCGAAGCTGCCCTCTCCTCTGCTGCTGCTGCCTTTGCCACTCGATCATCATCAGCCGCCATCATCAGAAGCTCTTCCACTTCTTTACCAGTTTCCCATTCATCATTGTCACAGTCGTCGTCATCGTCGATGGCCATAGCTGCATCTTCTTCTTTGGCAAACCCCGCCATTGCTTTGCGCAAGAGTAATGACACAATTATTCGTGGTTGCTCTACAAGAAAGAGTGGAAGGGCTGGGCGAATGAGTCATGACATGGAGGATATGGTCATGTCCCATAATAAGAGGATGAAGGTGCCCAAATCACCCTACTTGCACTACCGCAAGGGAAAGGGCCTTTCAGTCACCGACATCACAGCTACGGTATCTCTCTCTCTCGCTCTGATTTTCGTTATTCCTTTAATGCTGGAGTATGTGGATATGTGCTGGTGTTGTGGTTTTGGCATGATTAGAAGAAGAAGAAGAAAAAGAAGAAGAAGAAGTGGAGTCCAAGTTGGACAACAACTTTGAATTACTTTTATAGAGAACAATGGCATATTTGGTAATGAAATCAATGCCATAAAAATTGGTGGAATGAGAAACTTGCCCACGAATACAATGGATCTGTTGAACATGTTCTTTTCCCAATGAAAATGAATGTAATCGAGTGAGATCCAACAATTCCACATTCCTGTTGGGATCATTCCATTCTAATGGGTGGAGGATCACCAGCATGATTGGAGAAAATCGAGGTAGAAACTAAACTTCCTTGATGCCCAAATCTTACGCACAAGGGTGGCATTGACCCATTTGATTGAGTATTTCGTGCAATGTAGTAAGAAGCCCTAACCCAATCTTTTGACTTTTGAAATATAATTTTTGGTCTCTAATAGAATATATCACCCGCCCAAAAATTGAATGACTCCTTAATGTTGACTATGAGAGAAAATCTTTCTTGTAGCTGTAGTGAGCTTTAGCTATTTGCACGTTTTGATGCCAAGTTACCACACTTTGGACCTGGATTGGGTTCCTAGCTGGTACATTATATACCAAAAAGCTTTTGGAATCACCATGTAAAAGGAACCGTATGAACTTTGTAATGGCCTGAGTATTGGTCTTTTCTTCCATATTTATTGAAGCTGAGTTTAGGAACTAGGAGGCAAGGTTGATGTTTGATGGATCTGACACACTTGATTTATGCACAAAATGCCTGGTTAGTTCAATAGCTCCATGAGGTGCATCACAAGTGATATCATTTTGTGTGGCTCAAACTCGTTGCAAGATTTGGTATGTTAGTTAGTTAGTATTGAGAAGCTTGGATCTCCTAAAGAGAATTATATTCCTTCATAGTGTTGGTAAGCTGATCAATACTGGTTAGCCTTTCTTAACTTTTTGTTTTTTTGGATTTCAGGATTTTTTACTTTTTGCCCCAACATGGTATCAGCGGGGGTCATTGGAATATAGGAAGTCAGCGACATCTTAGCTTCTTGTGGATGAGTGATATTGTACCCTTTTTCCTTCAAAAAAGAATTAGAGTTTCAAAACATTCTTGGATTTTTATGTCGATGTTTATTTTTATGTTGAAAAGTTGACGTCCTCTTTAGTTGAACAGATTACGATAACAATAGAGTTTGGAAGTCATTTTTGCCAGATAGAATTCATTTAGCAGGATAATTTGTTTGTGGTTATAACTGGATATAAATTTGGTCTTCTCCAGTGCCTTTTAACTTTTCATTCTTCAACTATTAACTGAAGTTCTATAGTGTTTGGTTCATAACAGGGGATCATACAATATGCCATCACTAATCAGAAAAAGGGACAATTTACCATTAGGCTTTATTAGGTTAAACTTCTGTTTACTATCCTTTTCTGTTCCTCATAACTTTCCTTTCTAGATTTTACATGGCAATTGGTGAAATATGCTTGTGATTGCCTGTGAATTCAACATTTTTGTTAACTAGGCCCTGAGTTTTTCCTATATTTTTCATATTTTGTGCTCTTTTCTCATTTCTCTTCCATTTTCTTCGACTTCTCTTACTGCTATAGCAGATACACCATTACATGATACTATTTTTTTCTCGTTCAGGAATGGTGTGAAAAGCAAATGGAATTTATTCTTGTTCGAGGTAAACCTGAAAAGACAGTTGCAATGAAAGCAGGAAGTACACGTCATACAGAACTTGAGGCAGAGGTAATTCTCAAAGCTATGAGTTATGCTATATATGTCCTAAAAGTTTGTGGTAGTTCTGGAAATTTAAATATTCTTGGCCACAGTTCATTTAAACATTTCATTGTGGACCACGTCCAGAGTATGATTATCTTTTCTATTTTTATGCAATCAAAAAAATCGATTGTTGTGTATACATAAATTTACTAGTGGAAGTGTTGCACACATATTCACTCATCGTTTGTTGGCATTTATCTTTTCTTTCCAGTGGTCATTCTGGAGACTTGTCATGCGAGGCTAACCGCTCTTTTTTTTTTTCTTTTTGGTTAAATGATACTCTATTTCTGATGGCAGAGGCAAACTCTTTAAAGTAATGAATATTTTCTCCTGATTCAAATAGATAGGGATTGAAAATATGATGGATCTGACATGTATTTTTGGGATGTTATTTTTTATCATCATGCCATCAAATAGATTGGTAGAGTTATGTCCTTTTCAGCATTTAATGGAGATAATTAAATAAAACATTGCCACTCTTGTTACTTTGCATTATACTCTAAAACATACTTTGACTTCCATGTAAAAGGAAAAGAATTGGAATGGTTGAAGAAACCCTCTTGGAGTGGTGGTTCCTCCTTGAGTGAAAGTTTACAATGACTTTTATACATCACCATATAAGATGTTAATAGCAATCTACAAGGTGAATGGCATATCCCTACTGGCCTGCACTGCCCATGTGAGTGTACCTCTTGGGCAACTGAGACAAAATTGGGACGTAATGATTTTCCAGAGAGGAAGGTATTGGTCTATGCCTCAATCTGATGGGATGCCAGCTAATGCAGGGAACCCACAATTATGCCTTGATAAGCCTTTTAGTGTTTATCATCAACCTTCGATAATCTCTCTACAGGTGTGAAATGTTTAGGACTCGCTGGGCACTTTTGTTATTTATTCATGAGGGGCTAAAGAATTCCAGCTCTCAAAGGATCTTGTATCTTGATACAAAGTTGTAAGGACAAATGTTTGACAATGAAAGTAATTCTCAGCTCATACAATATCATGGCTAGATTAGCCCAGGTTTTCCAGGGTCCTGCCTCTTTGTATTAAAAAGAGTTAATAGTGCACAATGAAGAGCAGACAGAAGTCACTCTAGGAGAGAGAGAAAATAGATTAAGTAACCTCCCCTCCCAAATGACAGTACCCATGAATATGAAGATGAAAGGCAATGTGTACAATCATTCAAATTGCTAATTGGACTGAATTCATGTTCCGAGAAATGAGAGCATGAAGGAAAGAGGGTTCTCATGTGCAAAACTGAATTGCCGAAGAAACTGTTCCCATGTTTGCTAAGAGGTCAGTTGATTGATTCTGCTCACGGTAGAGGTGTGTGAACTCAATTTGTTTAAAGTGAGATGCATCTTTGATCAGGTTATTAACTTTCCTATGAAACTTCCGACCAACACATTGTGCTGGTACGTGAATTGATGTTGATGGTCAACAATGAGTGGTTCCACCAATAGATGTTGAATGTGTAATGCCTTAGCTATTTGGATCCCAATTTGAATGCAATGGAGCTCTGCATCATTATTTGTGCCTGTGATGGGTCTGGTGGGAGGCCTCTATAAACTTGTCATGACAATCTCAATGATCCCATGAAAACCAACTCTTTTCATGATTGCTTGAGCCATCCCTATTAAGTTTGAAGCACATGGATTGACATGGCAACCTTGTGTAAATTTTGGACTCATTAAAACTAGTTTGCCATGTATTATAAGGGAGGGGATGTTGTCCTTGCTCTGATGAATAGCATAATTGAGAACTCTTTCATGATCTTGCTTTTCTTTTGAAAATACTTGCATTCTGTTTCATATTAGTTGAGTTCTTTTTCAGCATATACAAATTGGATGGCTCAAAAGATATCCACAATTCTATGCAAATTTAGAAGGAATTTATTCAAAAACCAATTATATGTTATGTAGATTCTGTAATGTGGGCATCTCCCATGGACTGAGTGTTATACATCATTTTTGATGTACTTTTATCCCTGAGACGCATAAGGAGAGAGCCAGTAACACCGCACTGCAAAATAAGCCGAAAATTGGGCAACCTCTGAAAAAGTACTGGAACGGAAAGGGTAGTTTGGGATGCCCGAAGAATGCTTACAAAGTTTCGTCACATTTCGATAAGTTTTGATATGATCAAGATGAAATTCGGTTCTCAAATTCAGTTCTTATTATACTGAAAAAGGACCTTATAAGTACAAACCTATTTTCGGGGCCTCAAAACAGTATCAAACCACCGTCATTAGATCTGAAACGTCAAAAAACCCCTAGGGAACAAATTTGGGCTCAATCAGACCTTTCAGGACCATTCTGGGCCCAACTTACTATAAAAGGGTGGATTTTACACTATTGCGATGCAGCCTCGGTGAACCAGTTTCCATTTATGGAAACTATGTTTTCCTATTTCGGGATGATTTTCAAGTGCGCATAACTTGCTTGTTTTGAGTTGGAATAAGCTCAAATTTGGACACAAGCCAAGTCTTGATGACTCGGTTGTTTTGACATATGGCACATGTCATGACGTGGCCTGAAACAAGAGAATTTCTAGAGAGAATATGAGCTCGAAAACTTAAAAATCAGATTTTATACAAGAGGACATCCCCAACTTCATGAAGTCATAACTTGAGATCCCAGTGTCGGATCGTCGCAAATATAGGTCTGTTGTGACTGTATCGCGAAGGGCTATGATTTGGTATAGTTTATACGCACAATTGGAGGCCGGATAATGTGAATTTTGAGGTTGAAAAAAGCAAGATTTTCTGGTCTCCGAATCTCATTTTTTGACAACTTCCCAAATTTGGAATAAGCTCAAATGAAAACCAAATCGGATGAAATTTAGTGCAAAATGATCGTGACGATGCCCTCTTCAATTTGTGATCGAAATGAGGATTCAGAATGTCGCACCGGATTGGTAGTCGAAGTTTATGGACTTGGCCGGATGTTTGGTCCTTCATAAAAAATCCGTTTCATGACGATTGAATAGCATCAAAATGATCGTGATAGATCAAGCATCGATTTTACGACAATTGATCACTCGAATTACCGCCACAAGTTTCTGAAAAAGCCCTCGAAGTCTAGCAATGGCAAGAGGCCCCTCATGGAGGCATGGTTTTTTCATTTGCTCAAAACAACTAAGGGGTATTTTGGTCATTTGGTCAAAAAATGGGATTTTATTTAATTCATTTAATATGAAATTTTCCACAATTTGGCTTAATTTTGAACAATCCACCATTGTTTTGTGATTGTTCTATATAAGAGTTTAAGTCATTTGTAAGGGGGTTGAAAAACCCTTGGTCATCTTTGTAAGAGTTCTTGAGTATTTGGAGTAATTCGTGTTTGTGCTTTTACTTTTACTTTGCTTATGAGTTTAAGACCAAGATGAGAGGAGAGAGAAACATTTTTTAAAGAGAAGGAATGCCCTTAGATCACCTCCTTTCTCTCTTCCTTCGTCAAGATGCCAGGCACGCACCTAGGTGCATGCACGTCATCACCATTCTCTCTCTTGCTCTCTCTTAGTTTGCCCATTCTCTCTCCTTTTAGTTTGCCCATTCTCTCTCTCCTCCATGCCACCAATCTCTCAACTCAATTTCTTTCCCTAAATTCTCTCTCTCTCTCTACACGCCCCTAACTCCCTCTCCGCCCTTATCCCTTAACTCTCTATCCACCTTTATCCCATAACTCCCTATCCCTTACCCCTTAACTCCATATCCACCCTCTCCCTACACGCCTCTCTCTCCTATACGCTTCTCTCACTTATTCCTCTCTTCACGCCCCTCTTCCACGCACGCCTAGGGCCGCACCTGAACGTGGCCTCGGCTTCCCCCTCACATCTCCCTTTCCTTTACACTCTTTTTATCTCCCCTTTTCACGCACACGCACGCCCAAGGATGCACTTGCGTGTGCGGCAACCTCAGGGCCGCACCTGAGCGTGGCCCTGGCTTTCCCCACACGTCTCCCTTTGCCCCTTTTTATCTTCCTTTTCAGGCACACCCACAGCCGCACTTGAGCGCGGCCTCGGCTTCCCCCTCATGTCTCCCTTTCGTTTGCCCCTATTTATCTCCCCTTTCCATGCACACGCACGCCACATGCACACGTCTCCCTTTCCTTTGCCCCTTTTTATTTCCTCTTTTCATGCACACGCACATGTCTCCCTTGCCCCTTTTTATCTCCCCTTTTCACGCATACGCCCAATCTGCACCTGAGCGCAAGCTGCACCTGAGCGCAACCCCGGCATACGTTCCCCTTCTCATCTTCCTTGCACTTTGCTTCTCTTCCCTATCCTCTGATAAACGCAGGGTCGCGCCTGTAGGCGCAATTCAGCATTATCGTCTTCTCCCCTGCTCTCCTCTCTTCCCCCTCTTATTCGTGCCCAAGCTTGGAGCCGCGCCTAAGGGTGGGTCCAGCACGCCACCCCTTTGTTCCCTCTTTTCTCTCTCTCATGCAACCATTCTCTCTCTCTCTCTCCTAGTTTGTTCATTCCCTCTCTCTCTCACCCCCACCCCCACGCAAGATTTCTCCTAATTCTCTTTTCCCATTCTTTCAACTCAACCTCTCTCCCTAAATTTTCTCTTTCTCTCTCCAAATCTCATCTCTACATCCTCACCCTCACGCCACTCTTCTCTCATCTTTTCTCTCTCTTACACGTACCTCCCTCTCTCCAAAATCTCATCTCTCCCCCACGCCATTATTCTCTCTCTCTCTCTTATCCTGTTCAATCTCTCCCTTCATTATCCCACGTACCCCTCTTTCTCTCAACTCTCTGAACCGTCTTTATCAACTCTCCTAACCCTCTTTATCTCTTTCAACTCTCCTAACAATCGTCTTTATCTATTTCAACCCTCCCAATCCCTTGAACCTCTCTCTCCTCTCCCTCACGTATTTCCCTCTACTCTCCCTCACGTACCTCTCTTTCCTCTCCCTCACGTACTTCTTTCTTCTCTCCAACACGCCAGTTTTCTCTCT